CGTTCGGCACTTATGCATATCGTCGCATGCCGTTCGGTTTGTGTAATGCGACTGCTACATTCCAAAGGTGCATGATGAGTATCTTCTCTGACTATATTGAAAAATGCATTGAGGTATTCATGGATGATTTTATGGTGTATGGTGACACATTTGAGAGTTGTCTGCATAATTTTTCCATTATTCTCCACAGATGCATTGATACTAATCTGGTGCTAAATTCTGAAAAATGTCATTTTATGGTTGAACATGGGATAGTGTTAGGACATGTGATTTCTGCAAAGGGGATAGAGGTTGATAAGTCGAATATTGATGTTATTGATTCATTACCTTATCCCACTTGTGTTCGGGAGATCCACTCTTTTTTGGGTCATGCAGGTTTCTACCGTAGGTTCATCAACAACTTTTCCAAGATTGCACACCCTCTTTGCCAATTGTTGTAGAAGGACGTGCGTTTCGAGTTCAATGAACAATGTAAGCAGGCATTTGACACTTTAAAGTCGGAACTGGTGACAGCACCTATCGTTCAGCCCCCGATTTGGACTCAACCATATGAGCTCATGTGTGATGCTAGCACATATGCAGTGGGGGCAGTGTTGAGCCAAAGACTTGGCAGGGCATCTCATGTCATATGTTATGCTTCCAGGACATTGACTGAGGCTCAGCGGAATTATTCTACGACGGAAAAAGAGCCCTTAGCAATTGTTTTTGCTTTAGAGAAATTTCGTTCACATTTACTTGGCTCTAAAATCATTATTTTCACCGACCATGCAGCTCTTCGATACTTGATGGCGAAGAAAAAGTCCAAGCCTCGTTTAATAAGATGGGTGCTACTTTTGAGTGAATTCGATTTAGAGGTAAGGGACCGAAATGGAACAGAGAATTGTGTGGCAGACCATTTGAGCCGCTTAACCCATGCGACGGACACAAGAAAAATACAAGAGGAATTCCCTCACGAGCACCTCTTCGCAGCATCTGTTGGTATGCCATGGTATGCAAATATCGTGAATTATTTGGTTACTAACAGTTTTCCTCCTGATTTTTCAAAGGCACAGAGAGATAAGCTTAGAAGCGATGCCAAGTACTACGTGTGGGATGAACCTTACTTATGGAAGTTTTGTGGTGATCAAGTGATAAGGCGGTGCCTGCCCGACCACGAAATATCCTCGGTTTTGACATTTTGCCATACGTATGCATGTGGTGGTCATTTTGGTGCTAAGAGAACAACAATGAAGGTGCTCGAAAGTGGGTTGTTCTGGCCAACATTATTCCATGATGCCTATACATTTTGTAAGTCATGTGATCATTGCCAGAAGACAGGTAATATTTCTCGAAAAAATGAGATGCCTCAAAATCCTATTTTATTTTGTGAGATTTTTTATGTTTGGGGTATCGATTTTATGGGCCCATTTCCAGTTTCTTTTGGCTATATTTATATCTTACTTGTCGTTGATTATGTGTAGAAGTGGGTCGAAGCTTAACCCACTAGGACTGACGATTCTAAAGTGGTTTCAGATTTTCTTAAGTCCAACATATTTGCACGATTTGGAGTCCCCAGAGCTTTGATTAGCGATCGTGGAATGCATTTTTGCAATAGGACTGTGGAGGCACTGCTAAAGAAGTACCAGGTCACTCACAAGGTTTCAACTGCATATCACCCTCAAACCAATGGACAGGCCGAGGTATCGAACAGGGAGATTAAGTCTATTCTTGAGAAGACAGTGAATCCGAGTAGGAAAGATTGGAGCTTACGTCTGGATGATGCACTCTGGGCTTATAGGACTGCTTATAAAACGCCTATAGGGATGTCGCCGTATCGGGTCGTATTTGGAAAGCCATGTTAGCTTCCAGTCGAACTTGAACATTGAGCATACTGGGCAATCAAGAAGTTTAACCTGGACATTAATGCAAGTGGTGAGCATAGAAAGTTGCAAATTCAGGAACTAGAAGAGATGAGAAATGACGCCTATGAGAGCACCAAGATTTACAAAGAGAAGACGAAGGCTTTCCATGATAAGATGATTTCGAGAAAGCAATTCGTAGTTGGGCAAAAAGTTCTCTTGTACCAGTCCCGTCTTCGATTGTTCCCAGGAAAGCTACGAACGAGATGGGGAGGACCTTTTGAAGTCACCAAGGTCTGTACTTATGGGGCTGTTGAGATTCGGAGTCCGTCGAGCTTGAAGTCTTTCATAGCCAACGAACATCGACTTGAGCCATATCACGAGAACTTCCAACCTGAGCATGAAGAAAGAGAGGGCCTCGAGGACCTAGTTTATTCTAAATAAATCGAGAGCTTCGTGTCGAGCCAACGACGATAAAAAAAAGCGCTTTTGGGAGGCAACCCAAATTTTATTGCTTTATTCTAGATTATTATTAGTATACGTGTTTCAGATTTGTTTAGGACTTGAAGTGATTTAAGGTAGACCCAATTTTTATGGCATGGGCGAACCACGTACACGTTAAATGATAGTTTTTAAGTCGGCATGCCTTAACATAAATTTGTTGCTGTTGCTGATACTTTTTCTATTCTCTGCAGGATTTTGATCAAACATTGGGACTGCTGGTGTTGGTGTTTAAATGACATGGCCATGTCCAATAAGAGAGGAATAAAAAATAAAAATAAATAAAAAAATAGAAAAAGGGGAGAAATACGAAAAGGCAGCAGAGGATAAAAGGCGATATAGCCAAAGCCCTAATTCTTACCTTTACCATTACAGACTTTCTGTTCTCTCAAGAAATTTCAACCCGCTCCTTGCCTTTTCCACACGGTGACAAAAATTCACCAGAGCATCACCAAATTTTCACCGTCCTCTTTCAATTACCACAAGTGAAACCGACATCATGGTACGGACAAGAGCAAGATCAAGAATTTCACCGCCACCACAACTGGAGCCCGAACCACAGCTAGAGCCCGAACCTCGGGAGGAACCTGATCGGCGAAGAGGGCCTAGTGAACTACAAGGTGAGTCGCACTCTTTATCTGAAGAGAATAGCGGTCAGGGGCAATACTCTCATTTTTAGGGGTTGGCAAAGAGAAAAATGATATGAAAGAGATGAGACGAATGTTGTACTGAAAATCATCTCAATCGGATCATACAACTCTCTATAAACCACAAATATATACACAAAATTAGGGCTACAGATAACCTAAGGCTAATACGGTAAATAC